TAATGCTAACATGCTTATGCTCAACAGGAATAATGTTTACCATGTTCATTGTCAGAGTTTATAGTGTTAGAATGCAAATATTCAAAAATGTACAATAAACACAAAGTACAGCTGAGCTTGATTGCAGTCATTATTTTTACTGGTATTGAACAAATTAAAAATCTGACCCAATTATGGTGCTGGAATAAAAGTCATCGGAAAGTTATTACAGTTTATCCTGAGAGGACAATTAATGTTTAAACAAAAAAGTCAGAGAATCACCAAAGTCATTAGGATCCATCTTCTGGGACATTTAATATGGGTCCAACAAATAGTTTTTGAGATATTTTTGTCTGGACCACAGTTGTAGATGACAAATATTTCTCTAGCATAGTTAAAATGAAAAGATTTGACAAGTTCATACCTTGGTAAGGATGTCATTTGCTATGTCGTACAGTGTGTTGTCACTCCCAGAGCTACCTCCTCCCTTAGCTCCACCACCCTGGGTGAGTAGCAGTGACTCAAACAGTAACTTTGTCTGCTGAAGATCTTTCGAAATGTCCACATTTTCATGCAACCCAAACACCTCTGGATGTTGGCTGAATGGAAGTTCCTAACACAGCAAAGATACTTTTGCTCAGTTGGAAATCATCATATTAAAAAAACAAACAAATCTGTCCTCTTGATGTGTGTTAGCTTATGTGATTATTACCTTGATAAATTCAATGTAGTCCTCATAGATAGATTTAGGTGGAGTATAGTAGTCACCACTAGGTGAGAAAGGGTAGCGATGTTTCTCAATGATGTTCTTGTTGTAGAAGTCTGCCAAGATAGTCATCAGGAGCCGCCTATCCCAGTCATCTGTCACACGGCCACCATAGTTACACTCTCCAGTCAGATACGTTATGGCCTCGAAGGGCACCTCATCATATTCGTTCACAAACAGCTAAAGAGGAAAAGAAATGACATGCATTTGAAATTATTGTGATGTAGAAACTCAGCCACTAAGTCTCTGAATGAATACCTGTAGCTGTTGGGTGCTTATGCGGAGGTCGGACTCATTGAAGCCATAGGGAATATTCCAGCCCAGTGGACCAAACTTCGTTCTTTCCTGAACAAGAGCATGGAAGAAGCACAATCCATACAGGAGCTTTTCCCAAATCTGGTGGAGAAATCAAAGAGTCAGAGAATGCTCCCTGTGTGACAGAAAAATTAAATAAATAAATGCCAACTCCTGTGGCATACAAAATGAAAACGAGTTTCTCCCTGACCCACCAGCTCCTTATTTGGACAGTTATTGAAGAAGTTTGGATCTGAAACAGGATCTGACAAGTAAGACTGTAGTAAGTTGAGACGGAGTCCTGTAGGAGGCTCGTTTGTCATTTTCACTCCATTCTGCAGGATAGTCACTGGAAACTGATATAAGAAAGGAAGTTATTTCTTTAGACTCAAATGAAATCTCTCTATGCACATGTTCAGAATAAAATGAACTATGCTTTACCTTCGATGAAGGGTAGCTTGTCAGCCAAAGGCGGAAGTCTGGGTGGCATGTCGCTGGACTTAAATCCTCACAGATTTTCTCCAGGGTGGGCATCCAGGAAACAGCCAGGTGACAGTTCTGCAAACACACCCATGTCCCTTCCTGCCTAGCTGTGGATATCATTTTAGCAGCAATGGGGCCCTGGCCCTGACCAAGAGAGATGGACTGGAACTTGGCACCGTCCATGTTCTTGTCACTGGCAAACTTCAGTAAACCTGTGGAAGGATAATGTTAGTTGTAATGATTTTCAGGGGTGGCACTGTGTGAAACATTGACTACCAACCCTTGGTACTGTAAGACCTACTAGCCATGGGGTCAGCTCCTGGAGAAAGCACAAACACAAGTGGGATGGTGGAGTTGGAGTCCAGGTAACTCTTACTCAGGTCAAAAGGAGGGGGCTGTACAAACATCTTCCCCAGTTTGCCAGTCACATATTCAATCACAGCTGGCACTATCTTATCAGGCCTGAGACAGCGAATAAGGATCATTTTCTGCAGGTCATTGAGTTGTTCACACCATGGACTGGGCAGGGAAATGTTGCATGGCTCATTGCTGTCATAAATAGGCTTGAAGTCTTCTGGGCACTTGATGAAAGCCTCTCTGTGTAACAAATAAACTCATGTTCACTCCATTAGTCAAGAGTAATTCATAGTGACAAACAGCATAGACAACTAATGGAAGGAAATCTTTGTCTGAGTGAGTAATGCTTTTTACTTTATTCCTCGTAAGCTAGGCAGTTCACTGGCTCTACAGATCTCATCCCAGCTCTTGTCCTGTAGCCATCTGGGGTCGGGGTTTGCAGTGGTGTTCTGCAGGCCCACGCCTCCAGTAAGCAAGAACATGAAGTCAGAGTATCCAATCTCCTGTTTTGCTCTGACAAAATATCAATATAAGATAGCACATTATATAATTCAGATGTTGTATTTTCAATTAAGAACTTGGTTAAAACTTGAAATCACATAAACCTAATTCATTTAATCAATGTCCCCCAGTAGTTTTACCACTTACAGGAGCAGCTTGCAGCAGAGGAGGAAGGAGAAGAGAAGTTTGTCCTTCTCAAACAGAGAGCGACACACATTGCAATACAGGCTATAGGTGAAGTGATCAATCAGGTATCGAAGCCTCTTCTCCAGGATCTTGGACTTGTTACTGATGAATAAAAGCCAAAGCATAAGGCGCTTGAGACAAACAAAGAACATCTCCTAAAAGTTAAATAAGCCTATGCATATACTACATCAACTACCACAGTGTGGAATTTGTCTTTGTCTCACAATAACAAATTCTAACTGAATCTTTGCTGACTGACTGAGGAAAGCGCTCAGTTTCTTACCACTGCTTAGTGCCACTTAAGTCAAAAATGCTTAGCATACAAAAATACATATTTGCAATATCTTCAAACGCTACTTGTGTTAATATAGTACAAAAATGTATATTTCCTATGTGTAAAGACCATATCTTCAAATTTGTCCCCCTCACCTCCAGATGCTGCTTAAGAATACTTTTTGCTTTTACTCTATTCTTAATCACAAATGTGTGGTTTATTGATAGAATTACATTTTCCTAGATGTGGTTCAAGTTAAAAGATATTATGATGTAAAATTTGACTGTAGTTCTGACTCAGACAAGAACTGAGCCTGACATCCAGACAGATACTAGGTGAGCTGGCTGTCAAAAGTGTGATTCTTGTGTGACATTCAAGCTTCTGTTCATGTACAACAGATGGACAACAATGTTAACTAAACTGCTAGTACAGTCTTAAAATCCCAGCAGATCTGTCTCAGTGACAGACCTCTTTTGGGGCACTGCAGAATGCTCTTCGTGTGCACCACTCACCTGTCTAGTATAGAGTTAATGTAGAGGTTGACAAACCAACTGAGAGAGTACTGGTACATAGGGTCTATGTTGGTCAGATCAGCAATGCTGAAGAACAAGATGGAGGAGTGCTTGGCAATGGCTCTGTACCCCTCTCTAGACTCTGCTATCTGGATCTCTGTCTTCTTTGCAATCTGGGGAATATGTACGGTTGGAAGTTAATTTACCAAGTTTCCCATATAGCACATTCACAATTCATATCTCATTTTCTCTGTGGTTCACACCTGCTGTTTCTCGGTAATCTCATTGGACATGATCTTCGCAGAGTCTAGAATCTGAATAGCACTCTCGTCCTCCAAAATATTTCCCTTGGAGCACTGCAGTGTCTCCAAGATTTTGTCCTCAATTTCCTTTAACTGCCTCTTATTTTCAGCTGACTGCAGGATTAGCGCATTTCTCTCCCCTTCCAGTTCTGGCCTGTGAGCAGATGAAGCCGAAACAAGGCTCTAACAAGGTGACAAAAAGTATTTCAGTAGAATACCAAAGTGATCATTACTACCTCTCCTTGGCAACCACAATCCCCAGCAGCTGGTCCTCCAGGCCCTCTGGGGTGATCATGAAATTGAGCAGGGACACCTTGGTGGCCAGTTCTGGTAGATAATGGGGGTTCCTCAGCTTAGTGGTGATGTAGAAACGGAAATTAGAAGAGTATTCAATCACACTCTCTCCAAGCCTGATGCAGTCTACACCACCTAGTTGAAACAAAAATTTCTGAATTTAGAATTTTCACAGTGTTTAAACTCAAATCTCAGATATTCATCTGACAACTATACCATACTTTGTTTGAAGGTCTGTTTGAGCAACAGTGGTTCCAGTGAGGGATCCAGCTCCTCCCCTACATTTTCCAGCAACAAGGGTGTTCCAAACTGAACACAGTTTTCCAAAGTTCTCATGTAGTCTGCGTCGGTCAGCTTGATTACACTCAGGTTGTTGTCCTTCTCTAAATTCTTCACCCACTTGTTGGCCTGACCCTGAGGGTCAATCATCAAGGGCCTGTGAGGACACAAACATTAAAGATGAGATAAATCTTAGGTAAACTGTACACATCTAATGCCAGTTTTATTAATACTCCTATTTTACTCATTTACCCAAAAACTGGATATTTTGTGACACGTTTAATTAGCAACCACCATTCATCAAAACAGACTCACCATCTACGGGAATTGCTGACTATGACCCCATTGTCAACAGAGAAAGCGTCACTGGGAAGGCCTGCAATGTTCCATGCCCTGATGTTAATGGGATCCCCCAGGGTCTTACTAAGAGAGAAGTCATCTGAAGATGGAATGTTCCTTGACTAAAGATTTTGAGGTAGGTGAAAGAAAGATCAGCAATTAATTAATTATTAATTTAAAGACAATGACTAAACAAATATCTAAATAAAGAACTGGAGAACTGGAGAACTGTTACTTGGCAGAGTTTGGTCCATGATTTGGTGCAGTCCTCCCTGAAGCCAGAAGTGAAAGCTCCAAGGTAGGCAATAACACCAGCAGAGATCAGAACATCCCCAGTCAGGTTGTCATATATGTTCTGCAGGTCATCTGCTGCCTTAGACCATCTAGAGGCAGAAATGATTTCAGTCAGTGGAGTAACTGTAAATGATTTAATTGCTGAAAATAACAAACTAAAAAATATTTTTGTGCATCATCGTCATCACCTGGTCTTCTCTCCGCCCAGACCATTAATGAGTTTCTCAGCCCTCTCCAACTTCATGGTACACATTTCCCACTGTAACTCCAACTGAACCTTGTTTTCTGTCGTCTCCTTCAAGGTTTTTTGAAGTTCATTGTAATGGTCCTCCACCTCCTTTAACTCGGCTTTCTTCTGGGCCAGCACGGCCATGGCAGCTGTTCGGGACCTCTGGGCTTCTTCAAGACGGGCCTTCTTAGGAGCCATAATCTAAAACCACGGGGAGTGGTTGAAAACAAAAAATGAGTTTAAGCAAGCATACACATGTTATCAAGACTGGTCATGAGAATAAATTTGATCAAATCCAGGAACACTGCACCTTGTTCATCCTGTCAAACAACTCCAATGCTTTGATCCACTTGCAGAGGCCCTCTGCTGCAGAGGAGGCCTTTGCCACTTTACTGGGGTCAAAGTCTTGATTAGTCATGTACTCACTACGAATTTTTTGCAGGACATGGACCTGTCATGAAGAGATAGTAGAGATAATCAGATCAAAATACAAGTGCTCTCTTTAATAGGACTGTTGTTTTCCTGACACTCACAGGAATATTTTCCTTGTCATAATTTTTGAGATCTTGTAAAAAGTTCATATCGCCCAGTAACTTCTTGCTTGGACCCCAGTAGTCCAAAACCTAGACAAAGAAAAAAACACGCTACTCATCAGGATATTAATACAAATTGCAGAGTCATGAGCTTTTGCTAAAAATAAATAGCAGACAATCACAACCATCACAGCTTAAATAAAAAGATATATGTCTTAGTCCAACCTTTTTTCCAGTCCCAGCTGGGTCAGTTATTTTATCGGGCTTTATGTCCTTCATCACGCACACAGCTGCCATCACCAGCTTCACCCCTGAAGGAGGATTTTTCATTGACTTCACAATTGTAATATCAGGGGGCTGAAATGAAAGAGGGAACTCAACTTATTCAACTGTCTAAACTGCAATGGTCTTAACATGGTACAAAAAAGCTGTATAATTGAACAGTGTTCACTTTCAAAGTGTCCAAGGCAGATTTAGCATCCAAATAGGCAGGAATGGACACAGCCAAGTCACTCTCACACTCCTTCTTCAGAGCCTCAGCCTCATTATTTGCTATAGTTGCTGCCTCCTCATCAGCACGCACAACATTACGTTTAGCTTCCATCTTCAAAGACTGCTCTTCAACCACCTGAAAGTCATCACAGTAGTATATGTATGAAGTCAGTGAAGTCATATATACAGTATATGTGATTTAAGGTGAATAAAGATTTATTCACCGCCATTATTTTGGTGTTTTCTGTCTTTGCTGCTTCCAGTTCGGGCTGTATTTTGGCTTGTTCCATCTTCATCTCACCCACCTACAGAAAGACATTATTAAAATAACAAAATAAGTCATGGCAAGGGTATGCACAGCATTAAAAGACAAAAACAAAAGAACTTAGGTAAACGTGGTGCTGTATATACCTGAAATTCAGCAAAAGCTAGTTTATCCAAGCCACTGGTATACCTCTCTTTTGCTTTCATGACAGTGTCTCTTTTCTGAGTGAGCAGCAGACGGAAAGCTGCAATCAATTCCAAATAGGATGTGGATGTCACATAGTTATGGCAACCAAGCTCAGAGAGAAATCTGCAATAAAAAACAATAGTGTAATTAAGGACTAAATGCACTTTACCTTTGAATATATGAGTAATAAATAGCCACAGCTCATACCTCTCTGAGAGCTGTTTGGAAGAGGTATGGAATTTTTTGCAGATGGGTATAACCTGCTGTCTCTCATTTTCACTCATATCTAGTGACTCCAGGAAGGAGTTGGCTACTTGCTCAAGAGCCTCCTCTGGCCATGGCTATCAGGGCAAAGACACAAAAAGGATGGTGAGGATAGGAACCAAACAAGAGCATGCAACAACAGATGCTGACCCTATCAATAATAGTGTCTGTTAGTTAAACTTTGATGTTTTCTCATTGGAGTGCAGGTGGCTATCTGATTGACCGATGAAGTATGTTTTAATGGAGATACAGTGCTTAAATGCAACCATAAATGAATGCTTCCTAATGCTTATATAGTACCTGGAACCAGTCAATGGTACAGCAGTTGATAAGAGATGGAAACTGTCGCAGGCGATTTCGAAAGGCATCTCCAATGGGACTAAAGGCCACAACTATGTGCAGGTTCTCCCTACAGCGAGCCACAAAGAATGCAAACAGAGTCAAAGGGCTCAACTCCAAATTCTTGTTACCCGCCTGGGCAATGGGGCGTACTGCCTAAAAAAGGAGAAAAGGTGTAAGAGTTATAGTAAATATATAAATGAATAGGGCTTTTATAGATATAATAGGATCTATAAGGGTTTATAATACCCCTACCTCCATTATTTCTTGTTTCTCATCTATGGTAAACAGGTTAGGCACCTCTCCTGAGTTCAGGATACTGTCCACATCTTCTAGAAAAACCTCGTCTTTGATTTGAACATCAGTTAGCAAGAACACAGTCTTTTGACCCTTCACCCCAGCATTTTTCAGCAGCATCTGTAGTATATGGAAGACCATGGAGACTAAGTAGGTTAAAATATGTTCACAGCTGTTTGAACATAAAAAATGGTAACATATAAAATAGTAAGAACACAAAACTACGCACAAAGCATTAGAATAACAGGACACAGAATTCTGACGTAAACCATACAGCTAACCTTGAGGTCATCTCTCCACTCAGTCATGCCATAGCTCTTAGAAATCTCAGGCTGGAACATGGTCATGCGGGCCATGGATGCGGCCAAACGGGTGATGGACTGGCGTCCACTGCCCCCCACTCCCACAAGCAGGGAATTGCCTCCTGGCTGCTTCAACACACGGCTGATACGGGACAGATGCTCCAGGACATAGCTACATTATGCAGTGAGGGGGGTTTTTTTCAGTTAATTAAAGTTCCATGCAAAGACTGAGTTATCGAACTCTAACTTGCTGTGTAAAAAAATCACATAATTTGGCTGGATGTTCAGTTGAAAAATCTCTACTGTCTTATAAGAATTCAAATTCTTTAACAATGTGACTGCAGTTCATATAGTTGAATTAACTTTGCAGCATCAATGCTATTTACCGGAAGATGACAAGGTTCATGCGGTTCTTGTGCATCTGGTTGTAGTCATCAAGACATGACGTCGCCACCTCAGCAAAGCTTTCCATTGAGGGCACCTCAGCATACAGGCGCTCACCATCCTCTAGGTCAGGGTTCATGTAGTCACCAAACAGAAGATTCTGCATATCTTCCTCAACCAGCTGAAAAAGAAAGACATTTGATGGCACAAATTAAAACATACATTTTTCAATTTGTTTCATTTTCTATTAAGAGAGCACAAATACAGTTAGTGATGTTTCATGTGCTTGTATAAAATATTCAAAAATATATATAAAAACTTTTTAGATCCATGGAAGCAGGGCATTACAAAACAGCTCCTCTTCTTTCCTACTAACATAATAGGAAACATAATAATAGTAAAAACTGCATGATACCACATTGCCAAAAATTATTTTCACTTGACAGGATTTCTTAAAACAAGATCAAATTAAAAATAAAATACATAATTTTTTTTAAAAACATGCTGCTATTCTTGTTCTTAGATAAGAACGTCACACAGGCAACACCTGTAAGAGCATTGTCCAACATGGTTTTAACCCTTTAATCTTCAAGCTGGGAGATGTGTGCTAACAACTGAGCCACCACACCAACTGACTACTGGCTCTGTGTCTGCAGATCTCATTGTACACTTATCTCACATACTCAGACAAAGAATATTTTCCAGTGTACAAAAAAAAAAAAACTAATAAAACTGAATGGCAGCTTACTTTATTGCCTTGTTTCAGGTGGTCAAACACCTGGTCAAAAGACTCTTTGAAGTGATCTTTGAGAATGCTGTTCATCAGCTGGTAGAGCCATGCTCGATCTTTGTCATCCACCAGACGGTCATAGTAGACACGGAAGACCTCGTGGACAAACAAGCGTATCATAGTGTGCTTGTTCTTCAGAGACTGCTTCTTCACCAGCAAGCAGCCTTGGATAACACGTGAGAAGTCCCGCAGGTTGAAGGTGTAGTGAGACTTGGCTGGAGATGGAAGCAGATTCATCTTGGCTTTCTTATACACCTTTGAGAATTGAAGCCAAAATATGATTGATAAAAGCATTTTACACATGAAAACAAGTTCTTTTGATACCACTGTGTGTCTTTAAGGGACTCACTTCCATGGTAGCTGCGACTATTTGGTTGCCAACAGTAAAATATTCAGGTGGGAAGTCAGAGTTTTTAAGATAAAAGGCCACCACGTTGGAGAAGATGCGAACCATGGTGTCATCACTGAAGGCATTAATGCTAACAATGTTGAAGTGCCGCAGGAAGCGAGATGTCACAGCATTTCTCCCACCGCCAGGGGGACCCATAGCTGAGATGAGCAGGAGGTCAACAAGAGTAATGCTGGATGCATCCTTCAGGTCATACCTGCCCAAAAATAACAAATGAGGTAATAAATTCTTCCATTCAGTAAATTTACTCCTCTGGCATCTAAAAGTGGATGGTTCCTACCAGGTTCCATGATCTATGTACTGTCGAAGAAGCTCCACAGGAGGCTGTGCTCCAAACTGTTCCAATGCAGGCATGTTCATGTCATCTACAAAGAAGATATACTTCTTTCCCATGGGTGGGCCAAACGTTCCCTTCTTTCTCTTATCTAACCTGGACATGATGATATTCTGAAATATGCAATAAATACATAATAAAAGACTAAATTAAAAGGATTACACTTTCTTGCTTGTTTAGATGATCTCATAACATCTTGGATTAATAATGTACTCTGTTTATCTTTTCATAATAATCCAAAATCTTTCAACCATGGTTCCTAACTTCTGACCTGGGTTTGGTTGGCACTAGTGCGGGCTGAAAAATTGATGAAGAAGGGTAAAAACCGATCTTTGTCCAGATTGTTCATCAGTTTCTCCTTCACATACAATGATTTCCCAGTGCCAGTAGGACCAACAAACAGCAGAGGCCTGAATATAGTGACAAAAAAAGTCAAAATATGTGTTATTAGATTAAATGTAAAAAAATTTTAGGGTAATATAGAATGAGTTCTAATAGGAAAAACAGCATGCACGGACAAGACATTTCTAACATTTGTGTTGATTAATGTCACTGTGACCCCTATGAATAGTTACACTCCATAGCTGATGCAGAGGTCCATGAGGTAGCTGTATCGAACTGTGTCTATGGTGGGTACAATGATGTCCTGCACTTTGGTGTTTTTATCCCCCAAGCTAACATTCTTGATGGCATCATTCCAGTGAATCCACCGGCCTTTTCCTTTAAACTGTGTAAGAGATCACAATCTGATTTACTGATTTAAACACAAGTGAAAAACCTGTAAGTGACATTAGTACACAATACCTCATAAAAATAGTCATACACCAGGCCTTTCTCATCCATTGGACACTCCCATTTTCCCACAGTGGCAGGGATTGGATGTTCTGTCTTTCCTGACACAGTCACTCTGAAAAATGCACTAAATTTCTCTCTGCTGTCAGCATCACAGCTCCCACCCACAGACCACACCAGGGAGAATGCAAAAGCTGCCTGCGATAATAAAGAAAGACAAGGAGAGATGTCATACAAAAACATAATTTAACTGAAATAGAAAGTGAAAATACAAAAACACTGAAACATTTACATGAAGATACAAAGGTTTGTAAGGTGCAGTTCTAAAGCAAGGTAAGGTTATAATGTTATTAAAGATGATATAATGATTCGGTCCTTTTACCATGATCCAGGTGTGAATATTTTTATCCTCAGGATGCTCATTTACAGGTTCAGTGAGCAGCATCTCACACAGTCGACACAAGGACACCACAGCGTTACTGTTGCTAGTGGAAACAACTTCCTGTAAAGAAAACCATATTGCAGCATGACAAAACATCTTTGGTTTTAATATTATTGTCTTTAGCCTTTACTTAACAGTAGCTTATAGCCAGAACCAAACTAGGAATGTTGCAGTTATGTGGCATGTAACTTATGTGGCTACCAGAGCAATGCAAAAATGTAAGCTTCTAAATATTCTACAGATATTTGTGCCTGGATTGTTCTGGGGCCTGTGGCCACTTACTCTACATTGTTTACGCAGCATCTTGAGGGCAGGCGGCAGGAGCCATTGAAATAGCTCCAGCAGCAGGGAGCGGTTGTCTGGGCTCTGCAGAGCATCAGGGAGCGTGTTCATCCAGGAAATCACCAAGGGCATCCAGCCCAACTGAGATGGTTCCATGTAGATCATACCACATCGACTGACTGTGGCAGGCTGCAGTGGGAGAAAATAACAAGACCTTTTCATGACATCATTATATTCTTTGGTCAGTCTAGGTACTATAACTGACTAATAACAAGTTTTTGAAGATGATACTGATGTAAATAGTTGGGATTTTAACTAATCCAATAACAATATACTGGACAATATCACTATTTTCAGAATAAATAATCTTAATTTGGAAGCCTTAGATTTTTTTTTACATACTGAGCTACACATGATACAATTGAAAAATCTACTTGTCACTGCTCTCTGGTGGACACACCATGTAATAGTTGTTTACAAAGGTCAAGTGGCTAATCAAATGCTAATCAAGCATCTTGATAACCCTCCAGCAAAAGGAATTATTAAACTTTAAAACTGGATATTAAAATCAAATCTAAATTATGCCAGAAAAAAAGCATCTTTTATTCCAAACATCTAACTTACAGAAGCCTGAGACAGATCCATTGCTTCAAAAATCAGACTCATCTGACTGGACATCTGGATGATCTCACCGCTCATCAGACACAACTTGGAGGAAGTGTAAAGTAATAAAAATCTTGCTCACAATGTGAGAAACAAGTACATACTACATAAAACTTAGAAATACAACAGTGTCAAAGGTTTTTAATGTCTCTTATTTACCTTTTTGTTGTCGTCCAGCACAGTGTTCATGCTTTCAATCCACAGTGTATCTATGGGACCATCAAACACCACCCATTTACGGTGTGGTGTGTCAGCTGATGCAAACTCACGAAATGTGTTGGCCACAATCCCAGCTGTCCACTGATGACATGGAAAAGCAAAAGGTGAGAACAAAAGCCCACCTGTTGTCTCATTACACCATGTATTACAGGATAAATACAAGACGCTCCATTAATGGGCCTACCTCATGGGAAACTAGATCAAACTGCCCAAACAGCTGTCCCATGGTGATGGATTTTGGGTTTAATGTCATGAAAATGACCTCCTCCTCACCATACCCTCTCTTATTCATAAGAGTCAGAGTGTCAGCAAGAACGTGTAGCACTTTAGTCTTCCCAGCAAAGGATTCTCCCACAAGCATGAACCTGATATACAGTAAAATAGATGCACTATTGTTTCTGAAATATTCCCTTCAGGTCACATCCTAGTCATGTGAAATAATATAACTGGAAATATGATAAGAATCTGGTAAGATGGTAAGTTCTATGGTAAGATGGGAAATATAACATACCCATGTCTGACTATCATCATCTCATATGTCTGAATTATCTTCTGTAAGAAGACTTCTGTTGGCTGTACATTGTGCTTTTTACAGGATTCTACAGCAGCCTCTAGAAACAGCTACCAAGGATATGAAAAAAACTGATTATACAATTCAATATTAATAATGCATAGGCATTCTTAGATTTACTACAAAAGAACAAGTAATGGCATCAACTTATCTGACCTGATAGTCAGCCTCAGGGAGGGAGATGTCTGGGAACAAATCACTGGTGATTCCATTGAATAGCAGAATATCATGGGAGAGAAACTTGGACTCATTAACGTCCTTTATGGACCTCAGGAGCTGCAACATGTGGAAAAAGTGGATGGTCAATGACTGCATATCAACTGAAAAACCAAAAAACTTCTCACTTAGGACACTGTATGAACAAATGATTAGCAAATGCACTCATTCAAGGACACTGTATGGACAAATGATTAGCAAATGCACTCATTCAGCTCAAATACCAGTATGTCCTCATTCTCATCAGGAAACTTGAGCTTGAGGTTTCCTGCAGCAATGAGTACAGCTTTGACAGCCCTCATGCCATAATCATAATGGAACTGGGAGGAGAGCTGCTCAGAACAGAGCCTGTAGGTCATCACAATCTTCACTGACAGAGGTTTGGCATTGAGGAAGCCATACGAATACAGCGAGATCTCCGCTATCAGTGCATAGTTGGGGACCATCATAGCCACTGTTCGGAACAACACCTACACAGAAAAGAAAAGACAGAAATTTACATACTGTAAATCTGTTAATGCCAATGTTAGACAGTAGCACATTTTCTATTATTACTAATTGAAGGAGTTTAAAAGCAGCATCAGCACATCACAGTGTATAATTTGATGTTGGAAAGTTGGTTGAATGAACTGAAACATTGATTAATATCACAAATGATACACAATATGTAATAGCCAATACAGTATATTCATCTTTGACAATGAAGAGCCACAATATTTCACTGATTAAAGACCTTAAGGTTGTCTGGAAGTTCTGAGCGTCCCGCATAGCCAGGGTTCATTGTGATGGACACAAAGCAATTGGGATTGAGTTTGAGCATTGTTCCTTCAAATTCAAAGTATTCCAACTTCTGCTCGATAGCCCTCTGGATGCAGAGTACCTGCTGGGCTACTACAGACAGCACCTCCAGCTCAATACGGTTGAACTCATCAAAGCATGCCCATGCACCAGAGGAAGCCAGACCTTTAAAAAACTATGAGATGTTGCACCAAATTACATGTTAAAGAAGGTTTGATTTCTAACTATGGCATTATAAGTATAAATATACATTCAACATTTTTTTTTGCTCATGTTACTTTGCCCATAGCAAGGTAATCCAGTCCATCAGAACAATTGAAGACCACACATTGCACCGCTAGAGCTTTAGCTAGATCTTTGGTGGTTTCTGTCTTTCCTGTTCCAGCCGGACCTTCAGGTGCACCACCCAAATTCAGGTAGAATGCACCGATCTAAAACAGAAGAAGGGTTTTGGAATTTAATATTAAAATATCAGATCATTCTGCAGTGTGGATCTAATAAAAAATATTTTACCAGAGTTCGATAGCATCTGTCAGTCAGTGGAGTGATGACTAGACGTGGTGAGTTCCCCAGGTACTCATAGGCATACTTAACATCACAATTTATTATTTTAACATGAACATTGTCATTGCTCCAGTAATAACGAAGCTGGGCTAGCCACTGGAAGTCTGTTTCACGTGATATCCCTGTTAAAAGCAGACAGCTATTATTAGATTTGAAAAGTAGTTTTTCTAAGTGCTGTTATTAGCTCAGTATTTTGCACCACGAAGTACCTTTCTCAATAAGCTCCATGACCACATCCCTTGCATGGACATCAATTGTGACCAGTGCCCCTAAAGTGATCCGTGTTTGTTTGGGCAGTTTGCCTCTCACCAACTCCACAATATCATTCAGCTGACTTTGGAGTTGCTGATAGTAGTTCTTCAAACCCTACAGAGAAGAAAAGCCCAGTTATTTTAATTTTTTACCCAAAGTATTAAATACTATTAAGTTGTCATACTGATCTAGAGAAAGTCTGGTCAGTCAGAAGTGAAACACATCATTACTCCGAATCTCTAAACTATAAAAATTCATAACAGGTGCACAGCACCATTACTAGACTGGGATGAAGTAGTGGTAAATCAAGTTGTGATTTTAAATAAACATTTTCAGAAATACATCTTCTCATATTCAGAAAAGCATAATTTCCACAAATTATGTCATAATTATTAAAAGTAAGAAAAAAAACTGTAAAAGCCTACATCAGCCCCTGCTCTGATGGCATCATGAACCTCCAAGGTCCAGAAAATCTGTGAGGTACAAAGCACCACCTGCCCAGGCCACTCCATGATCCACTGACTCCGTGCTGTTTCAGCATAGGCCTGTCAGTGTAAGAACTATATTAAGACCAACCTGAGAATGTCTAGATGAAACATATGACCCATACCCAGTATAATGGTATTAGCATTAACAAGTCACAGTACTGAATATTATTAAAGATACAGGAAACAGTGATCTCACCACCCTTGATTGGGCGATTACATCTCTGACACTGCAAAGCATCACATCCTCCACCTGCACCAGCCACTTCTCCACAGCTCCTTTGGCCTCAGATGTGGAGATATGCTGGATTAGTTGGACACGCTCCCCTTCACTGCTATACATGGCCTGAGCAAGGACAGTTATACAGTTTAACAATGGTTTATCAATCATGGTGCCATATAACTATAACAATATGTGTCACTGCCTTACCTGGATATCCAGATTTGGCAGGAAGTCCAGTTTAGAAATACCCTCAAAGCATTTTTTTAAATGAGGCTGCACTCGTAGTGGGTCCTTGGTCTCACACAGAATCTCCAGCATTTCTTCATTGGACAAAAAGAAGAACCTGGTGGGGACATTTTCAACAAGGATAAGAATCTGTGATGTTAACAAAGCTCTTGACAAAAGAGGCACTTGCAAACTTTTTTGTTTACCGTGGAAAAAATAGACGTTTCTTCTCCAGATAGGTATTCAGTCCTTTCATAATGCTATCGAGGAGGCTGTTGGCATTTTGCAATTTCTCTAGCAAACTAGGAAACGAGGTTGCTGGCAGAACCTGTGATTACAAATCATCAGCAACCTGAAACAATGAGTCTTTCAGATTTTCTTTTTTTCTTTTAAATGTGGTCAATGTAAGTACCTTAGGGTCCTTAACGCAGTGTCTCATGATCTCTTTCCAGTTTTTGTCAACAATCTGGAAAAGTTGCCCCTCTTCAGGAACCTGCTGCATGATGTCTTGAGAAGAGAAAATGGGCTCCAGGTAAAGCCACTGGCCCTGCACTTTCAGCCACTCATCTATGATTTCCTGGATATGAAGCAGACGCTTCTCCCACAGCTGAGGTCAAATAACAAGACGTTAAAGTTGTGCATGACTGGTTATGAGCAGAATTTAAACATGTCCAGCTGGCAGAACTCTCATGCAATGTCTGCATTTATTCATTATCATTAGCTAAATAAATGCTCTGAAACTTGAAGCTAACCTTGATCTCATTTTCAAAGGGTTTAATGAATGGTGATCCCCTCATAGTCTGAGTCTTCACAATCTGGTCATCCAGCATTGTCTGAACCTCATCCAAGGCAGTCAGGATGAATACTCCAGTCTCCCTGTAAAGCTGGTGATTGAAAGAAGCACCATCCAAATCATGTACCATGTCTTGCATAGCCTTCTCCAGTGACAACTCCTGTAGAGACACATAATGTGGATATATACTGTGACATTCAACACACACATTTAGGATTATAGGTTTCATCAAGTGCTATAGAAGCAAATACAAATTTTCAGGAGTCTCACTTTACTAGCAGCAGCACTAATAGACTCAAACTGTTCCAGGTAAGGAGTCAGGTTTTGTTGGAGAATTTTACGTAGTGTAGTATCAAAGTCAGGAGTGAGGTTATACCCCACTATCTCTGACATCTGATCCCAGTGGCGAGCTCTGATGCCCCGGTTACAAAAGACAGACACTACCGGGATATGGTTCTGTTGACACAAGGCACATTTCACATAATGGTTTAGTATCACACAAGACTCCACTTACTACAAGCCTCAGTATTATTATATAAAATACCTTGAACTCTTTAATCTGCTCCATCACAGTGGAACACAAATGTATTGTGAGGTTTTCTGGCTTTCTTGCATCATCCTCACTAGGTTGTTTCCTAGACTTGCCATGAATGTTCTCCATCTCTTGTTCAGCCTTGATCTGTTTCTGTTGGAAAAACTTCAGCATCTTGAAGATCTCCCTAAAGAACTCATCCACTTTTGTGTCTATGCTCTCGCCATCTAGGCCTTCGAAGGAACCGTCCATCCACCTATACACAAAGAGGATAGAAGCTTACTAAGGAATATTTTTTAAATTAAAACACAACATACAATAAACTAAAATCTGACCTGTTCTCTGTCTGCTGCCACTTTAGCACAAGTCCAAACAACTTCTGATATGGCTCAATGTTCTCTTTGATGAGCTCAACTTCTGGGAAACAAGTTAGGTCCCAGTTGTAGAAGGCCTCTCCTTTGTTAATGAAGCTGATAGTCTCCTCAGCCTCCTGTAGAAGTTTCTGAACTGTTCTGACATCCATAACATACTGCCAAAAAATGATAATATGACAATTAAACCTGCAGCATGTTTCCAAAATAAATCTACCATGTGTGATCTAAAAAGGTGATAAAAAAAAACAACACAAAACAAAACTTAGCTTTGTGTTGAAGTGGAGAAAATGAAAAGGTCCTAACTGCAAAGTAGAATTGATTCACACAGACCAACCCTTCACTACAATTATGTCAAATTGCTTTTCTACTATTCTGATTATGCTGATTGGAAAGATTCTTTCTTGCCAAGAATTATATGGGAAGAACAATTCCACTCGCTGTTCAAAATGAAACTGAAGCCAGCAGACGTTTAGCTTATTTTAACTAAAGACCTGGAAACTAGGGAATACATTTAGCTGGTGCTGATATGCAAATTTTGTTGTCCTTGGACCAGACCCATGCTTCCCACTCTTCTCAGTCATTATGCTAAGCTAAGTTAACTGGCTGCATTATTATCAAACATAGTAGTTGTATGACTGCTTCAAGCAAGAAAGTGAATATGTGTACTTCCTGAAATGTTGAACTATTTATTTACGGTTGTATGAAAGTGCTAGTGATACTGTACCTGGGGCATCATCTTAGGATCAGAGCAGTATGAGAACTCCTTTATCCTGCGTCCCAACTTCTCCAGCTTTATCATTAATTTTTCTCTTTCAGCAAGCAGCTCCTGCTCTCCTTTCTCCTTGGCCGTTTGCATCACCTAAAAAATGACATAACTATTCAGAATCAGGTCATCCATGATATACTGTTGTAAGCAGACACATGAGCATTACCTCATCATGGAGCTCAAAGACATGACGAATGGTTTTTGGCCAGAGAAAGACAGTTGAATTAAGCTCCACATCCTCTGGCTCAATGATGTGGGCATCCAAAAGGTAGATCATTCTATAGTAGGCTTCCTGTCAGAACACAGTGTGGTAGTGAATGATAATAGAACTGATATAAGGTGACTTAAGTCAATTAGTATACTTGCAATTAAGCTACAGCTGACAGAACCAACAATCAGGTTACTCACCTTTAGTTTTTCATTGAGCTCTGCAATACCCTTTGTCTTAATGAAATTTATGTATTCAGTCATCTCAGTCATGTCCTCTCTAGTTTCTGGAACTTTCAAAGCTCTCTCTCTGATAGTTTTAAATTCATAGCAGATCCTTTAAATAGACACAGTAAGTATTAAATGTACATCACAATGTGAGTATTTTAACCACTGGACAGCTTTGCTTAAGACCGTTACAAAAGTGACTCACTGCAGATTTTGCTCACGATGACTAGAGATCAGTTTCTTCAGCAGTATTTCAGCATAGTTTTCGGCTTTGTTGGACAGCCCTTGTTTTAGTTCTTCACAGTCCAGATGGACCATTGTGAAGCGGGCTTTTGCTGGGAGGCTGATAATCTCCTTTGACAGAGCACGAAACTCCTCCACTTGCTTAAAAATAACATGAGATTACACACTGACAGTCATTAACAAGGCAAGAAAGACATAACATTTGCAGCATGAACTGAAGTTTATGAATTTTATTGTTACCTTAGTGTACTCATCAAAAGAGTGCTCCTCTTCAATGAATCTGTCCACTCTGGCCTGCGCAGTTCCATTGACTAGCCAGTCATAGCTGTTAACTGCAAAATAAAGCTGAAATATCAGCAATAAACTGAATTAAAATCAATGATGTAATGACAGGAAGTGACTGGATTATGTAACATCACCATAACTCTGGAAATGTTTGCTGGGTTCCTCTAGATTCTTCTCCAGAGCAGTCTTTACAGTGACCTCAGCCCAAGCAAGGACGTGATCAGGCACCCTAGCATCCACAAAGAAAGATGTGGCTTTTGTCCGCCATGACTGAGCCGTCTGAACTCTCTGTGGATGAATGGCATAGATTTCAATACTAGCTCTGAGGATATTTTTACATAAAAAATGTTCCATAAAGATCCTAACAGGGTCATTTACCTTTAACTGGGTATTGCACATAAACTCACCTGCAATGTATTTGTGATGGCATTAAGAATCCCAAACACAGCGGCTTCCAGATCTTGTACAGTAGGATAAATTTCCATCTTTTCATCATCAAATGTCAAGGCCATACGGAAAACGGGCAAACAGTGATGATCGCTTGGATCAAACAAACTGACAAACTCCTCTACGCTTCTCTGAAGAAAGGATTTTAACTGGGGATTTGCAAAAGAAAAATGTCCATGAATCTAAATGTGTAACATGCATTCAAAGAACCCTACAGTACACATACACATCTAATAAAACGAGTATCAATCAAATTGTATATTTTGCATTAAATGATGCCATTATAGCTTACAATCATCCATCGCCAGTTAAGTTTCTAATATATGCAGCAGTAAAGAGAGAAACCTTGACAATTTTTAGTTGTCAAAATGTCTTTAGCTGTCTTTCAATGTGTAATTCTAACAACTGACTTCCAAAAAATACAATGTAAGTCATTATTATAGCTAAGGACTGTTTCTACAGTTTGATGTGATGTTTTAAATAATGAATGATTCATTCAGAATTATCAAGTCAAACTAGTCTATAATCAGCATTATCTCACTTGATTGGAGATGAGGGTGGATGCACAGTTATAGAAGGAGTCCTGTTTCGCCTTTTTAACACCTTCCAGTATCTGTTCACTAGTTAGTAATTTGGTGACTTCCGGAAACCAGGTATTCATGATATGATCTTCTGTCCTCTTACACTCAACAGCCATCTTGTTCTGTATGCTCTTACAATCCAAGGGGCGTGAAGCCCTGAACCAACACAATTCAAAATGAAAGCAAAAAGAAACTTAAGCAAAACCTAATGTGAAATATCATAGTTATGTGCCTATTTTAACTGTGTAATGTTACATTCATTACTTCTCTTACCTCAGTCCTGTAAGATCAACCAGGACCAGTGGAGAAAATGTCAAGTAGCCAATATCCAAGACAGTCTGCATCACCGGATGAAGAATGAGCAAATTTGATTTTATAGTCTTGCGGTTTCTGATAAAGCTATCATGCCAAGGTTCAGCGATATCAAGAATTCTGCCAAAGATTGGAAGTATGTTTTAAAATACAACTCTTTGGTTATTGTACAAAAATTATTTGTGCACATCAGACACTCACTTTTGCTGGGGAACTGTCTGTTTTTCTGAGATGGTTTCTTCTATCTGTGGATCCTTTAGTACTGTGTCCACTAAAGGAGGTGAATATATGAAGCATAATGAGACATGGTTCACCTGTGTTCTACAATGCTCTGCAAGCATAGGCATTCATATGTAAACAAATACCTGTGTGCTTGATAATGACGTTGTCAAAGTCGTTGCGTACTTCCATGCAGAGCTCCTGTAGCAGCTTAATTTTCTCAGGGCTGTCTTTAAGTTTAGATGGGACTCGGGAAACAATGGAGTCTAGCCACTGCTGCTGAATTGGTGTGTATGGGTGGCGGGCCACCCACTGCTTTAGGGACATGTAGTTCATCTGCAAATGCAGCCAAAGTAAAATAGGAAAGGCATGACAGAAATAAATAAATAAAAACTGTCATACAGAGGGCATATAGATACT